TTTTTATAGCTTATCTAGAGACAGGGTCCCGTTGAATTGCTTAGGGCCTTGGTAAATTTTTGAGACTCACAATTCTCCTGCCTTAGCCTCCTGAACTGCTGGGATTACAGGCATGTACTATCATGCCTTGGCTAAGCAAAATTTTTTAATTTTGAGGAAGTATAATATACCATTATTAAAAATTATTACTCTTGTTTATCCTGTTTAAGAAATCTTTGCCTGTGATTGTTTGAATGATTTTGTCCCCTCCAAAACTCACACTGAAACTTACTCCGCAAAGCAATCATATTGGGGAGTGTGGCTTTGGGGAGGTGATTGATTCCCAAAGCAGAAACCCTCATAACTGGGATTAGATTCTCTTATTAAAATGCTTAACAGAGAGAGCTCATTCCTTTTTGCCCTTCTACCTTCTGCTGTTTGAGGATGTGTCAAGAAAGCCCTCACTTGACACCCAAAGCTGGAGTCTTGACCATGGACTTCCTAGCTTCCAGAATTATGATAAATAAATTCCTGTTCTTTATAAATGACCCAGTCCCAGGTACTCTGTAATAGCAGTACAAAACAAGACCAAGACACCTGTCCTATAACTTACCTGTATTATCTTCTTAAAGTTTTGTAGTTTAAATTTCACATTAAAGTCTAATGTTCATATTGAATTAAATTTGTGTAGAGTATGAGATAGAGCCAAGGTAAAGGTTATCCAACTATATTATCAGGTGTTCCAGAGCCATTTGTTTAAAGGCTCTTTCTCCAGTGAGTTGCCATGGCTTCTCTGTTGTAAACCAATTGACTGTATAAGAGTAAGTCCATTTTTGGAGTCTCTCTTCTGTTTCATTGATTAAATCAGGGACAGTTGAAAGCAACAGCTATATGATTCCACAGACTACAATGACCATTTCCCTTCTACCTCCTGAATCTGAGATACTGCATCAGCCATGGCATTTCCTTCCACTTATATCCCATGAAGTCATCATCGATTTTAACAATTACATCACAATAGCAAGCCAGTGGCAAATGGTACTCCATTTACTCTCTGTGATGGAGTCCTCATTGACAACTGATCATTGCATTATTGAGCTCCAAAATTCCATTTCAGAGGTCAGCACCTAGAACCATTCTCAGCATCATCTGGACAGATTCAGTGACAGAGGTCTGCTGGGAAATATTTTGGGGAATAATGGCTGTAGGAGAGTAAGATAAAGAAGAAGGAACAGAAAGAGAAGTTGAACTATTGTACAGTTGTATCAGAAGCCTCAGCCAATTTATGAGGGTCTCTGAAGCTAGAAATCTCACTTCAATTTGTGTCAAATTGAGGGATGAGGGATCCAGCTTTGAACCCCTAAGTCAGCCAGTTATTGGATCCATGAGCCCTGGGGGTTGGGGTGTACATAATCTTAGGGAAACTAGCTCCCTTCTGCTGATTCAATAATCCTTCCTGCCCAGATAAAACCATTGGTTTCTATTTTCAATGGAATTATGGAAAAACTTAACTTACCACCAGCTTCTCTGTACATGTGTAGATGTTTTCCATGGTACCCTGTGAGACAAACAGACAATAGGGAAATACCACTATCTGAGATTGATACTACCAAAGTCAGTCCCGAGAAAGGGAATGAGTTCAGGTAGTTTATTTGGGATGGTCTCCAAGGAAGTATTAAGTAAGAGAGTAGGGAAAATGAGGCAAAAAGAAAACAAAGGGAGAAAAACCAGTAAAGGGTATAAAGGGTATTGTGAAATACAATGAAATATATATGGTGGTCTCTACTGCCAGTTCCTGACACAAAGTTCCTAAAACCCTTTCAAATACAAATGCTCAAAGAATGTCTTTTTTCTAATATAATCAGGTACCTAAGAAGGGCAATGACAGACCACATATGTAGGAGCAATGCCACAAAATTATAATGAAGCTGAAAATTTCCTATTTCCAAGTGATGTCAGTCACCCTAATATTATACTGCAGTACGCTCCTCACATTTGTGTTGATACTGATGTAAATAAACCGACTGCACTGCCATTGTATAAAAGTACAGTACTGCAATTAGTCCAATACATAACACTTGATAATGATAATAAACAACTATGTTACTGGATTAAGTGTTTATTATACAGTACGTTTTATTATTATTTTAGAGTGTACTCCTACCTATAAAAATGTTTACTATAAAACAGTATCTGTGGTACACTGGCAGCAACCATATACATCTCAAGTTTACAGTGACTCTTAATTGCATCAAGAGGTTTTTACCACCCAAGTTTGTGTAAGTATGCTCTTTGATGTTCACATGACGAAATCACCCAGCAATGCATTTCTCAAGAATGAATCCCTGGGCTGGGGATATAGCTCAGTTGGCAGAGTCACAAGGCTGTGGGTTCAATCCCTAGTACCACCACAAAAAAAAAAAAAAAAAAAAAACAGAAAGAAAAGGAAAAAAATGAATGAATCCCTGACATTAAGTGAATCACAGTCATATTTGGTCTTAGACATTGGTTCCTAACACAAAGATCCTAAATCCCTTGGAATTTCCTGGGTGTCAGGAGAATCTTTTGTTTTAATGAGACAGGAATGATGGGATCTTATGGAGACTGGTCACCAGAAGAGAAGTCACAGTGAGAAGCTTGGAATTTTTAGCTCTACCTTATTCTTCAGAAAAGTGAAAAGGTGCTGGGAATGGAGTGGATAATCAGTCATGTCTATGTGATGAAGCTTCCATGAAAATCCCTGAACTGCAGGGTCCTGGAGCTTCTGGGTTGGTGAACAAAAACACATCCATAAGCAAGGGAGGTAATGCATCTCAAAGTCCAGGAGAACCTTGCCAGCTTCTTTTCATTGATATTCTTTAAAATATCTTTTGTAGTAAATCAACAAGAGAAGAAAACCTCTCCCCTTAGGTCTGTGGGCTGTTTTAGCAAATTTTCAAACCCAAGGAAGAGGTGGTGGAAACCTCCGATTTGAGCCAAGTAGAACAGAATTCATGGGGAACCTGGAGAACTTTGGTTCCAGCTGGCATCTGGAAGTGGGGGTAGTCTTGTGGAACTGAGCTTAACCTGTAAAATCTGATACTGTCTTGATGTAGACAGGGTCAGAATTGAGTTAAAATGAAGGATACACAGCTGGTGTCGGAGAATTTTATGGTATGGGGAAAATACTCCCATATCTGGCATCAGAAATGAAATATAAGAATATTATTTGTAGTAAAGGAAAAATAGTTTGCTTTCTCTTACAGGCATGGCAATGACTCCATTGCCATTGTAGGAAATTGGGGCTTAATCTTGCTGGAATCCAATAAAATATTCCTCAAAATGTCTCATGAAGAGACAGGAAGGTTCAAGTACTAATCCACCAACCCCTGTTTCCCAGGGCTTCTGGGCTATCCCAAAGGCATTGTCTTACATGGATGCTGAGCAAACTTCCCTGGCACCAGAGGGGCTGTAAGGCTTAGAGCCGAGACATACAAGTATCCAAGGTAGGACATGTTTAATGTGTATAAAACTCCTATCAGAGGGGCATCAAAGGTACCTGTTCTTGTCACCAATACCACTTTCTTAATCAGTTCTGGACACAGGCATAGGAAGAAGAGCTAAGATGTGTTATGGAGTGAAGAGATCCACCACCCATCAAGGGGTTCACATTCTCCATTATCCGAGCCAGGATTTGGGGAGTTATGAGAAAGGTGTAAACAATGGTAATGAGTTCAGCTCTTTCCTAGCATTTGCTTATGCTTTTCCTTCTTTGGAAGGTTTTATTCTATTATATCAAGGTGAGCTAAATACATGTGCCTGTTCTATTCATGTGCTTGCTTTGGGGAGATCATGGTTTGCTAAATAATAAAATATAATAATAGGTGACACTCTTTCTGCAGTGTGACAGGCATGTTATAGATAATTACTCAGTGCATCTTCATAACACTATGGAAATATTTATAGTACAAATATTGTCCTGTGTTATGGACTTAGGAATTTGAGGCACAGAGAAATTTTGTCAGAAATCACTATGATAATACTGCATAACAAATAACCCCACATCTTAATAGCCTGCAACAATTTTCTCCATCATAAGTTTGTAGATTGCTTAGAGTGGCTCTGTTGACTGAGCTAGGATCAGCTGACCAACTCTAGGCTGTAGGTTAGGTTCAGATCTGTTCAAGATGTCTCTCATTCTGGGACCAGTAGCTAACCAGAGTATGTTTTCTCATGGTTGAAGGCAGAGCACAGAATCAAACCAAATTAAGCAAGTGTATTTGATTGGTACTCTATGTTGTTAACATTCATATCACATATCTTGGACAAAGAAAATTACACGGTCAAATCCAATATCACTGTGATAGAAAAATACAGTCCCCTATGGCAGGGGTGGAAGGAAGTGAAACTTTGCAATCATTAATAGAATTCCTGCTCTGAACCTTCACAAAATTCTGGCTCAACAGAAAGGGCTCAAAGGAGCCAGTGAAAATTTGGGGTTACCTAAAGCTAACCTTTTAGAAATAGATTTTTGAGCTTAATTTATATTAATGGTGACTTGTAAGCAAGTAGAAGAATGAAAAATAAGTAGGATTCTACTCACAGTATTGCAGAGGGCATCCATCGTTTAAGACATAAACTGTAAATTGCTAGAAATTTAAAACAAGAGCTCCAAAATGTCAAATAAAACAGTCAGAAGACCTGGTTTCATGTCTAGACGCCGCCACTAAGTCAGCTGGTGACCTCAGTCTGGATTCTGTTTTTTTCCAAGCCTCGACCTTCCTCCAGTGAAAAACAAGAGACAGCACTTAGTGCATTTGAACTCTGTGCACTCAATAAACCCTTCAGGCTGATGTGAGAAAACTTATAAAAGAGACCTCCTCCCAGTGTGTCTCCATAGCATTCAGAGAACTAGAAATGCAAAACTGGATGACACCATCCACTCCAAACAAATAAGAAGAAGAATAAATCAACTGGGAGAATATGTCTCACAAAATAAAGACTCCACAAACTGGTTAATTATAATTTCTTTTAATCCTTCTATACTTATAACAAATGTCTCTGAATTTTCTGCAAATGGTCAAATTCCTTCTTAATCTTGAGTAACCTGACCTAATGTAAGCTGAGTCAAAAATTCCAAAAACACCCTTTGAGAGATAGCTGTAGTTTACACAATGTATTATTTGGCTTTTGTGAGCCATTCTACAAAAGGGCAGTGAAATATCATTCTGAGAATATCTCAAATATCAAAGAAGGGAAAGGGAGGCCTAGATGACTTTTTATCCTCTTAAGTTGGTAAAGGCAAGAAGAACTGCTAGGATTGCTCCAGACACACTGTAGAGCCCTGTTAAAGGGAGGAGCATCTGCCCAGTTGCTGCACAGGGCCTAAATTCCTACAGACACCATGTAGATTTAAGTTCCATGAGGCCCTGAAGTACGTATCCTTCCAGGTGTACGTCTGGTTGTCCTTTGCTCCAGAAAGTTTCAGTAAATTTTTGTCCTGTGAATGAATAAATAATAAAAAAAGTGAATCTCAACGAATGTCATTCTCTTTTATCCATGTGAATATATTGTGCAAATAATGACTCATACTTCTTATCACAGTGATCATAAATCAATAAGGTATAGGAGAGCAAAGACTAGTTGGATACTTCTAACACACAAATAAGATCCAAAGCAGCAATTATTCTTATAAACACAGCTAAGGAGAATTCATAGGTTGCGAGACAAGACTCAAGAAAACCCATGACGAAGTTCTGGGGAGATGATTCTCCCAGAACTAGCACCCTGATTTAGGGTTCCACAATCTAAAGGGAGCTTGGATAATTTGTGTTATGTTAGAGATATGTTAAGTAAAGCTTAGGTTAAGTGAAGAAGTGGTAAAACAACTTGAGCTTGTTTTTCTGGTTGAAGAATGGCTCACTTTAGAATTCTCAGATCAAACCAGAACACAGGATTTTATTCTCTATCTACTTCAGAATAAGTCTTCAACAATTTCAAAGCAAACTATCACAAAGTTTGCTGTTATTATCACTAGTTATCAGTCATACAGTATCTATACATGATAGGCAGTGTCCTACTTTTCCCATTATCCTACTTGCTTATAAGTCACCATTAATGTAAATTAAGTTCAAAAATCTATTTCTAAAAGATTAGCTTTAGGTATCTACACATTTTCACTGGCTCCTTTTAGCTTTTTCTAATAAGCCAGAATATCATGAAGATTCAGAAAGTTCAGAGAAAAAGAGAGAGAGAGAGAGAGATGCATATATATATATATATATATATATATATATATATATATATATATTACATGTATATATATGTGTATTATATATATAATATATATATATATATATATATATATATATATATACACACACACACTGTGTTATTTATCTTCCACAATTAGTATGCTTATCTTCTTTTATAGATGAGTTAACTTACACTCAGGACTAATACCTTGCTCCTTGCTCATGGATGTACAACCAGCAAGTGGTAGAGTAGCATTCAGACCTAAGTCTGGCTGTCTCCCAAATCCTCATTCTTTGTTATACTCCTCATCATCAGGGGGTCAGAATACTCCTCTATCCATCAAAAGCTTCCTCACCTGGAAAAAGACCTGTCTTGTGTCAGATTATTTCACTTCCCTCACCATGTTTTATCTTCACCTACTCAATCAGATAAGTATCAGCAGAATTTAGTTTTGCTGACATTTCCTATCACTCTCCCTCCCCAGTAGCTCTTTGGAGCACACATCGTTGTTCACCATATTGCGGGACATTCAAACTTTCTTACTATTAATGCCACTTCCCCATTCATCTACTTGAGTTCTACCCACTCCCACATCTGTCTGCAGCCAACTTGCGTTAAACCAGCCATCCAAACATGCCTCCCAATCCATCCCACAACATGACCAGGTGGTGCCTGCCAAATTACCCTCTGGGATCAGAAGCTAATACACAGCCAAGTCTGTGGTATTTTCCTCGAGTTGCTTGCTGGTTTGGCCATGGAAAAAGTCTGCTGCTTCTACTTCAGTGTTGTTCCAGGCAATAGTGAGCTTCCTAAAACAACCCTACACTTGAATATCTGGCTTAGTATAAGATTTTGTTCTCCAAACACAATTTGGCTTTCCCCGTACTTGGCAAGCTCATTATTGTCTCAGAAAAATCCTGGCTCTTAATCTGAAGTGGGTACTGCGGATATTCTCCCCAATCCTGAACTACCTGTGACCAATCCTCTCCTGCGACCTCCACCTCCATGGCTTCCTGATTCAAATGGATGTTTCCATATTTAATATCTCAGATGTTTGCAAGTTCTTTCCTTTTCATTTCAATATGTATTTGCTCCACATCAACAATTCTCTTCCAAAGGATTAAACTTTGGAACACATGGACCTGAGTTAAAATATCACCTTTATGATTTTATTCATGGCTATATACTTTGGGGCAAATTTATTAACTGCCATTTTTTAGTTTCCACATGTCTAAAATGGAAACAATAAAGCCAATTATAGAGAGCAGACACATTTTGGGCATTTGTTGTTCTTTCCTCTTATAGTACTTACAAAACCAAAGTCTTTGACTTGATGAAGCTGATTATCCCTGTGTTAGTCAGCCTTCTGTTACTGTGACAAATATCTGAGATAAATCAACTTTAAAGGAAGGAAGGAAGCTTTATTTTTTGATCAGTTTCAGAGGTTTCAGCCTATAGTCACTTTAGCACAGTATGCCACATGGCAGAAAACTGGCTCATCCCATATCAATCAGAATGCAAAGAGAAGGAAGAGACTAGCATTCCAATATTATCTTCAAGTCCCACCCCACCAAATAACCCAACTTCTTTCTACAAGGTCCCACCTCTCAAAGGTTCAACCACCTCCTAATAGTACCACAGGCTGGTTGGCAATCAAAACTTTTAAAATGAGCCTTAGAGGACACTCCAGATACAAACTATAGCAGTACCCATGGAATGGGACACAAAGGTCTGGCCCAGGGACCAAGAGAACCAGTACCCTTGACAGATGGATTGGCTCATAAACATGACCCACACAGGACCCATGAGTCCATATTTTAGCTCTTATGACAGTTACTGGGAAAGAAATTCTGTAATTTCTGGGACTGTTCAGAATAAGAAATATGTTAATCTGGAGTTGTCCATGGTTATATTTGCCACAGAGAAAACAGAGCCAGACTAAAACTGGAGTTAACAAAGAAGAAAGTAAAGCTAAGAGATTTAAAGGCACTGTTGAAGCAACAATCCCCGGACTCCTCCATACTGTGAGGCAATACATTCCATTTGGTCAGAAGTTTGTCTGAGTTGGGTTTTTGTCAACCAAAATCTCTGACTAATAAACATCTGCAATATTAAGCATGGTACCCAACACTTTGGTTATATTAATATTAATATATTACTATCCTTACTAATATCCTTATTAATATCCTTACCATCCCTTACTCATAACTTCTCTACAGTCCCAGAAAGACTTGCCACCTTCCTTGAAAAAGATCTCACTTCTCTACACATAATGACATATCATAATCCTCTCAAAGATATTATTCCCATGCTTAGCCCTTTCTTCTCCAACATCCAGAGTTTCTCCACTGATTTGTTGACTGCATTCAGTATGCCCAAGGATAAAGTGAGTGACAAAGCATTTCCACATAAAATTAACCCAGTGGGATCAGTCTCCATGAACTGACTCTCCCCTTCCTTCAAAATGTCTCTTGTCTTTTTCTCTCCCGTAACTCTCCACTAAGCCCACCTCACCTGGACAATTATATTCATTTATACATCTGACCTTTATAAAATGATTCCACCTGTAATTCTCTTCACTAAATTAAGCTTTCTAAAAGTGACTTTCAGATACTTCCTTGTTATGGAGGCAGAAATACCCCAGGTATCATCTCATGTAAAGTCTACTCTCTTCTCATTACTCTAATATTGTCCTCAAACTGGTGCCACTTCACTGATCTAACGTCATTTTGGAGTCAAATCATCTTGTATTCAAATCCAAGTTTTACTTCTTACTGGCTGTATGACTTTAGTTCATTTATTTCTCTGCGGAGACTCTGGCTCCACAGATAAATCCATATTAATATCTTTACCATCCCTTACTCATAAACCACCCAGTGCTTTTGGTGGTTGTTTTAAAGCATTATTTAAACATAATTTAGTACCATAAAAATCACCTACTTTAAGTGCATAATTCACTGATTTTTAGTAAGTTTACCAAATTGTGCAACCATCACTATAATACAGTTTCAGAATAGTTTTATTACTTCAGGAATATTCTTCATGACTTGCTGCTAGACTTCATTTCTACCTGCAACCCACTCCATGAATTTGTGATCTCCAGGAATTTTATATAAGTGCAAACATATAATATGTGGACTTTTGTTTCCAATTTCTTTCACTTAGTATAATTTAAGGTTCATTTCTGCCTCCATCCTTTACACATGTAGGTTCTCTGTCACCCTTGCTCCTTTCAACCTACCCACACCTTTCATTATTGTTATTATTTATGATGTCATTATTTTAAAGAACAATGCAAAACATGGCACTTTTATAACATTTTCTTATATCTTAATTTCCATTTGGACCTCTAGGCTTAAATTCTTCCTTAGATGCTTCACATAATTGTCTTCCCCCCACTCCAAGAGGGGGAAAAAAAAACTCAATGCAAAAAGTGTTAGGCACATTTGGGAATAAAATAAATGTTCCTTGAAAAATAAATGATGGATTGAGAATGTCTACTTATGCTTTTCTTTACCAAGAACAATTACCAAGAGCCATACTCAGGTAGGAGGGGAGATCTGTATGATTGGCATGCTAATTTCTACAAATGTTATCCCATAATAGCTGCTAACTAAATAAATACTGCCCACTGATTTTGGAAACCCCATTCTCCACCTATCTTCAGTCCCTCTACAAACCAAAAATTTATGCAACTGTAAATTCTTAGAGGAGCCATTCAATACCTGGGGGGTTAATCTTTACCCCCACCTTAGTGCACAGCTACTATCTTGCTTGTACTGACTGTTGAGTAAAAATGTGTCCAATGAATAAATGAATGGAACACATTAAATGACTGCATGATACAACCTTAAAGTGAGCAAGCATTTGAGGACCTGGCCACAGCAACCTCTGGAGATTCCAAGAAGCAAGGGGATGGTATTAGCTTTAGTTAGGAATTTCATCTGGGAAATAAAGCCTGGTAAAGATCCTGTTTTAGTCAGCTTTTTTTTTTTTTGCTGCTGTGACTAAAATACCTACTAAGAACATTAGAGGAAGAAAAGTTTATCAGAGGGATCACAGTTTCAGGAGTCTCAGTTCATAGACAGCTGGCTCTGTTTCTCAGGGCACAAAGAGAGGCAGAACATTATGGCAGAAGAGTGCGGCAGAGGGAAGCAGCTCACGTGATGATTGGCAAGCAGAGAGGGAGACTCCACTTGCCAGATACAAAATATATACCCCTAAGGCACACCCCCAATGCCCACC